AAAACAGGTGAGCCGAGCCGAACAGCCGCTGGAGCCGCCGGAGGAGCCGCCGGAGCGTCACCGGAGGGAGCCCGAGCCCTTTGCGCCGAGCCGAGCCGAGGACTGCCGCGCCGCTGTGTGACACGTGGCAGCAGCAGAGAAAGCCACGTCGGGCGGTAGTGTCGGGTCGAAGCGCGGGTCGCAGTCCAGTCGGGTCGTGGTTCGGGTCGCGGGCTGTGGAAGGCTACTGGGCCAAGGCTAAACGTTGGGCCTCGGCTTACTGGGCTGGGCCGCAAGTGTTTGGTTTGCAGGCCGGCTCAATTGGACCGTGGGTCTGGTCTGGGTTGGTTCAACTGAACCGTAGCTTCTGGGCCGGTTTGAGGTTTGGGCCGCTGAAGTTGGGCTGGGCCGAAGGTAGAGGCCAAGGGAGGAACGGGCTGGCTCTCCCGGGTTCTGGGTTCGGGTTGACCCGGATCCGTGGATCTCGTCTTCCTTACCCGACTTTGGCCGACTTTCCGGCGAGTTTTCTCTCTCCTTCCCGCGGCGTTTTCGTTGCCGATTTCGGTCCTCTTCCTTCTCTTTTCCTCTTTGTTCGTCGTCCTTCTTTCCTTTTTTGGGAGTTTTGCGGCCTAAAAGCTCCTAAAAGCCATAGATCTAAGAATCGATTAAGAAACCTAACTTTCCGACCTCGGTTACCGACGACGACGCTTACGAAATAACACCAAATGCCCCTGAGTTATTGTGCTATCGTTAGAGATCTCTCTTACGGTAGTAACAGGCTGTTTGGTGTCGGTTTAAGGGTGATTTGAGGGCTCGTCGGAGAAACTGAACACTTCGCCGACGTTTGTCCGAAATCTCTTTCTCTCGCTCGAAATTTTTCTCTCTTTTCTCCCTTTGCAGGCGTTCTGAAGATGCTGGGCTAAGGGTGGGCGCGCTGTGGCCATCGTTTCGCGTGGGTTCCGCGAAACACGGCGGTCGCCGGAAAACTCGCGGGTTTTCCGGCGACTGGGTTTTTTTTGTTTTTTTTTCGTTTTCTCGTTTTCATTTATCATATATATATATATATATATATATATATATATATATATAATATTTTCTTTTTTTCTTTCTTTCTTTCCCGGGTCGTTACATAACCCCCAATAGTGGGTCACTTACAGAGTATTTCTTAAACTACTCAAGCCACGTGCTACTACATTTTTTAGGTTAAGGCAAAGTGTTCTTGTACGGCTGACGACGGCATCGCAACTCGAGACCACGACACATGCATAGGGTAGTGGTATTTGTTTTCCTAGACTTAGGTTAGAATAGGATGTTTTTTTAACTTAAACGCTTATTTATTTTATTTATTCTTTTGTTGTGTCGTTCTAAAGATATTTTCGAAACACGTAAGTCTATGACTGTATTTTAAGATGAAGGTTATGTTTTATGGAATTTAAATGAAGTCTTCCACATTCAATGTTTAGGATATAATATGTATACAGTAGCAATTTTAAATTAAGTAGAAAATTTCGGGTCGTTACAAGTATAATATAGGATATGTTATGTTTTATCTTGGATGGAATGTGAATGTAAATTGATATATTTATGATGTTTAGATTTAGTGAGGTTGATATTGTGAATGGGGAGCTATAGTTTTAGTAAGCTACTAAATGTTAGTGTATGCGTGAAAATGATTTTGCTAAGGAAAGTCATATGTTTTAGTTAGACGTGTTGACAACATAGATAAATTACGTGTTATGACCATAGAGATGGAAATGAATATACTAACGTATATTGATGAGTAAGTAATTTCAAATGAAATGAAAATGATCTAGGAAACTTGATAAATGACAATATCTTATAGTATACTATAAATATTAAAGGTGGTAGTGTCAAAAGAAAACTTTGTCGCTAAGAAGTATATAAATATGAAATTAAAATATCGGTATGAACAAAAAAAAAAAAAAATCTGTCTTACCACAAGAAAAAAAAAAGTTGAGTTAGGACCATAAAAGTTGAAAAGGTTGTATACAGGAGAATGATATAAGTGCTTTAATGGAATCTGAGCTTTGGAAGTAGTGAGATGTAGAAAACTTTCCTCACTTAATACGAATTGAAAATTTTTAAAAATACAACTATAAATATGAAATGAGGTGATTTAAAAGTATGGAGCCACAGTTTCGATGAGTCATTACGATTGACCAAAATTTTATAAGTATATGGAGAGGGACTACACCATGAGATTCTCCAAAGTTTCTTAAAATGCTTAAGAATGAGATTTCTAGAAATAGAATAATTAAGAATAAAATGTCGGAGAATCATATAATTGTGTTTAATATTGCAGGAACGCTATCAGAAATTTCATATAAATAAATAATATTTATATTTAATTCTCGTAGTTCAACTATTAAAATAATTTTAACCAATTTAATTTTAATTTATTTTACCTTCATTAATAAATATATTACTAATAATGTGCCAAAAAATTTAAATTTTAAGTTTATTTAGTAATATAATCCACCTTAATAATTATATTCAAATAAATTAACGGTTATGTCCCACATTGATTGGAGAGGAGAACAAACCACCATTTAAAAGGGTGTGGAAACTTTCTCATGACAGACGCGTTTAAAATCTTGAGGGGAAGCCTGAAAGAGAAAGCCCAAAGAGGACAATATCTGCTAGCCGTGGATTTGGGTCGTTACTTTAACTAAAGATACACTCTATTTTTTAAAATACTATTAATATCAAATGATAGCTAAATGTGATTAATATATATGCTCTGGGTGATTGATGGACGTTATCTCTTTATTGGGCTTGTATGTTTACATGATATAGTTTACGTAGCTCCAAGTGATCGATTGTGAGTTCTCCCTGTAGAGTGAGTTATTTGCACAGAGCTAAAATGAAGAGACTATTGAGTTATTTGCACAGAGCTAAAATGAAGAGACTATAGTTAGGTTGGTTAGACGATGACCTAGATCAAGACACCTCTAGTAGGCTGACACTTTAGGATCGTGAGCAGCGATCAGAGGGTGTAGACCCTAATGCTCCCAAACTAAGAAAGACTCGAGAAGTCATATCAAAGTACCTTATTGTCAAAGGTCTACATTAAGTCACCTACCCGCTCTAGAAATTCCAATGACCTCCTCAACCCTAGAAATGACCAAGATGATGCTAGAATATGTTTTAGATGATCAATAGGAAAATTTTCTAAACAAAGTATGCACGAGTGAACCAAGTTAAGTTTAGGGCACAATAGTTGGAGCAGTTTACACGTTGATCTAAGTTAAGTACATTTTCAATAGACTCTACACCTCATAATCGTGAGCGGTGGTAAAAAGCCTAAACCTGTGTGCACTCAAGGAATGGATTAAGTTGAGGAGATGGTCTTCAACGTCCTGAAAATGAGAGACAAGATTTAAATCACCTAAACGCCACTAAGGACCTAGTAGACTTCCACGACATCCAAAAATGACTAAGGTAACTCTCCAGATAGACTCTCCACTACCCTCTCCACTCTGATACCTATACTGTCAAAATTTCACTTTGGTACTTATACCATGAGCTAGGCACAGCAATTCATCTTGTATGAGATGGCAGCCTTCAATGCAAGAACATATCAACCATCAGCACTTGAGGAGGCCAATAAATCCAAAGTTCAACTCTAGAAAAACCTTCAAAAGCAACAACAACAACAGACAAGATGAATCAATACTAGTAAAAATTGGCCCAAAAAAAAAAAAAAAAAAAAACGAATCAACTGTTTCGGAATGAATTTCGTCTCAAAATACAACTCTTTATGGCTTCTCCCGAGTAAATAACGAACTAACGATCACTCGATCAAATAGTAAGCTTTTGGACATACGCCTCTCAATAACCTCGAATAGCATTTTGTTCTTTCCTATGTCATGTATGAACAAACCATGAAAATGTACATAACATTGTCCACTTGACTCGTCTGCAAACAGGAAGCTTTTATGTTCTCAACTTATTCTACTTTCAAATCTAGACAGCAAATTAATAAATAGTTTCCTGATCTCTTTGTTTGTTTAACTGTATGCCATGTTTACTGCCTCCTGCCTAGCTGAGTCGAAGAGTGAAGTCGATAGATACCGCTCGCCGAAGCTCGGAAATATCACCTACCAGTGAAAACATTAACGGACTATTTCAAGATCGATTCAAGTAAAGATAGAGTTTCAAATATTTGAAGTGTATGTCACAAAGTGAAGGGATACCTTCGAAAATTCAACTTTCAAACTGAGAATGAATGTTAATAGGAAGATGGTAACATAGACTTACAACAATCAGTTTTCCTTCGTTTTCGGGTCGCTTTGCGATCTTGATTGCAGCAGCTGCAGCAGCACCGGACGAAAAGCCGACCTATAAAGGGAATAATGTAGTCACTTTTGGCAGAAATGAGCATTTTTTTAAGTAAAAACAGTTTCAAGAAAGATTAGAATACCAAAAGGCCTTCTTTTGAAGCAAGTAGCTTTGCAGTTTCAATGGCTTCCTCAGTTGATATCTTACACAAACATAAATAGTAGACTTAGAAGATTCGGATTACAAAATGTATCGAAACTCCAATGGATTAAAATGAGTAGCAACAGTCTCCTAAGTTTGTTCTGAGACTTACCTGAATAACCTCGTCGATCAATTTGATGTTGAGAATCGACGGGATGAAACCAGCACCAATTCCTTGTATGAGATGGTGACCTTCAGTGCCAAAACATGTCAACGGTCCGCACTTGACGAGGCCAATCAAGTCACTACATGATTGTGATAATAACACAACACGGATTTGAACTCGAGATCTACTATTATAACATGTTATATTATACATGGAAACTGTTAGAAATCACGGATCTCCACAATGGTATGATATTGTCTACTTTGTGCACAAGCTCTCATGGCTTTGCTTTAGGCTTCCCAAAAGGCCTCATACCAACGGAGATGTATTCCTTACTTATAAACTCAGGATCATTCTCTAAATTAGCCAATGTAGGACTTCTCTCCCAACAATCCTCAATAGTTTAAAACCTTGATTGTCTTTGCCATCTCGAGTTGGCATTGGTTATCCTAAACAATGTTACTGAGTGGCAGTCTTTAATCCAAAATGACCATCCTTACAAGAAGGTAAAGAACACTATGTGGCTCCACTTCAACAGAGCCTTCATGGGTTCTATGGAGTGAAGAAAATGCAAGGATATTTCAAGACAGGAATGTCTTCACTATTTTGTAGGCTTTTATTGGTGTAAAAACGATCGATTAATACAATTGGAGAAGTTTCTTGTGTTGAACACAATTCTGTGTGGGAAACACTCCCACTTTTTATTAACACCACTCGAGAAGAGATTACAAGACACTTAGAAACATACATGAGCTCATACAATTATTAGACTTGACCCAATCGAGCTAGTGATGATACCTCAACATCTTATATACACTACGGAGTCTATTTGTCATGAAATTTTCTTTGCAAGTTTAAAGGAGTGAAGAAAAAGGATATGGAAGGCATGTAGCAATAAACTCACCAGGTTGTCCTCCACTCAACACTGCACTTTCAACTGGTTCTATTCCATATACCTACATTTCAAACACTTTTTGAGTTTTTTCCATACAAATAACTATAAAAGCAAAAATATTTATGAAAAACGCGTTTTGCTTAAAAACTCTCCTATCTCAAACGACATCCTAAACTATAACGGCCTAGGCTCACCACTAGCAGATATTGTCCTCTTTGGGCTTTCCCTTTCAGGCTTCCCCTCGAGGCTTTAAACCGCGTCTGCTAGAAAAAGGTTTCCACACTTTTATAAAGAGTGTTTCCTTCTCCTCCTCAACCAATGTGGGATGTCACAATTATTTAAACCAACCTTGATTTTTGGGTTCTGCTCCTTGAGGAACTTCCCTGCACCAGTTAGTGTCCCCCCCGTCCCAATCCCAGCCACGAGCGCGTCGACTTTTCCATTTGAATCTTTCCATATCTCCACCCCAGTTGTTTCGTAGTGAATCTAATGAAATTTAAAAAATAAATATCCTGATTAAAGAGTGATATAGGAGCAAACATGGATTATATCCCATCACAAAAGTACCTTTGCATTGGCAGGATTGTCAAACTGCCTCAGAAAATATCCATTGGGTGTGGATTTTTCGCGATCCTCAGCCATCTTTATAACTGCATCAACACTCATTTCTGGGTTGGTGATATGCAACTCGGCTCCAAAACTGAGTAGCAGAATTCTTCTCTCCATGCTGAAGAAAGCTGGCATTATGAGAATGAGTCTGTAGCCCTTGATTGCTGCAATCCATGCCAGTCCAATGCCGGTGTTTCCCGCTGTAGTCTCGATAAGTACACTCTTTTCACCCACCCACATATAACATTGGATGTGACCCACGATTGAGATATGTCGAAACAAGTAAAAGAGGCAAAGGAACAAAGTAATCTTAAGCACTTAGCTTTTCAATTCTCTTTTATTATTGTGTTGTTGTGAAAAAAAACATTCTTCTCATGAGTGTTTATAGTCGAGAAAGCACTAACTTGCTTTCTAAACGTTCTCCTCAAGTTAAGAACTACTAACCATCTTCTTAATTCAAACACAAAACTTGGTCCACAATTCGACAACTACTACCAATTCTCCTATAGTTGTTCCATAAGTGAGTAACTTATTCTACTAAGTCTACTAGACTTAACAGTAGACTTAACAATTCTCCTACAGTTGCTTCATAAGTTAGTAACTTGTTCAACTATCTCAAGTTTATTAGCTCACATATAAAAAAAAATAAATTTCCACAAGTCTCTATTATTTGCAGACTGAAAGATTCAAAATTGAATAAGCAACCACATTTGCACATGGTACACCATTCTTTACCTTCCCTGGTGATATGAGGCCCTTATCCTCCGCGTCTTGTATCATACTGAGAGCGATTCTGCAATACAGAGATTAAGAAACAAAAGAAGGGTTGCTAACATAAGAAGAAAACAGAATACGAATTCGTGTTATAAATGGAGTATCTATTACCGGTCTTTGACACTCGAGCAAGGCTCCATTGACTCTAGTTTGGCAGCAATCTTGGCAAAGCAGCCATCTACAATTTTGTTGAGATACACCATGGGGGTATTACCAATTAGCTGCAGCCCAAAAACCATCCATCAAGACGAAAACAAGAACGATAATCTAGCGGGAGTAAATCAAGTAGAAATAGGAGTTGAAGATGAAGTTTAAAGCATAAGAAGCAATGGAAATAAATATTACTTCAGTGGCATCAGTCTTGATTGCACACTTGTCCTCCATGTGTTCACTCAAGTTCAGTTCTGCATAAATTTTAGATTAATAAGAGAAGAGGTCTGCGGGAAACCAGACCAAAAAAGATACTAAAAAACTTACCACAAAATCACCATAGGTTTGCCTAGAGGTCAAGAGATCAACAAAATCCCATACAAATAGTAAAAAACTTAAAAAAACGAATGAGTTCAAGCATGGCTACAAGTTATCTCGACAATCAAATGTAGTAGACTCAGATGGTTGTCCCATTGAATTAGTCTACATGTATGCACGCTGGCTTGAACATTCATAACTCATTGCGAGGATAACAAACTTCGAAGAACCTCCAAGATGGTAAGGTCTTGGAAAATTTGAGTTGAGCAGGGCGAAGCCTTCCTACAAGCTACAATTGATGGGGGTGAGCTTTGGGGTAGACCATGCACAATGTGTGTAACGGCCCAAGCCCACTGCTAGCAGATATTGTCTTCCTTTCTCTTTCGGACTTCCCTCAAGGTTTTGAAACGCATATGCTAGGAAGGGGTTTCCACACCTTTATAAAGGGTGTTTCGTTCTCCTCCCCTAAGGAGCATAGCATGAAATAGAATCCAAGAAGACAGAAGAACAATGTTGAGATAAAGCACGAATGTTGTATGGACGAGAAAAACAAGCAGCAACAAAGGAGGAGCGAACAATTTTGAGTGATTTGAAATCAAAAGCAACGAATGAACAAAAAAAAAAAAAAGATTAAATCGAAACCCTATCACGAAGTATCATCATTGAAAATCGCAGTAAATCATACTAAAGAAACAGAGAAATCAAGAACAAAGAAGCCAAAATGTCCAAAAACAACAGAAATTCACGAGTCACCCACATCAAACAGAAATCTAACAAGATGAACACGGAAGTGAAAAAATAAGGAAGCAGCAACCCCAAAATGGAACAAGGGAAAAGAGTAACTGAATAGATATGAATGAAGAAAGGCAATGCAAGAAAACAGGGGAAAACAGGGGAGCTTACTCAACAAATGGAGATGATGGGCAGAAGCTCATCAGTGGAGGTTGAAATCAGAGGAGAGTGTTAGTCCGATTACTTGCCCAAAATAAAAATAATATAAAATTTACAACCACAAATTAAGAATTATATATATATATATATTTTTGAATCAATATTATTAAACTTTTAATAAAACTATAGGATAATATAAAAAAAATCAGTTATATTAATGAAAATTTGATACTATTTATTTTTATCTCTCCTAAATCTTTATTTTATCCCCTTTTTAATTCCTTTTTGTTTCTTTCTAATTTTCTTTTTCTCTCTAACATTTTGTCTATATTTTAATTTTTTTTTTCTTTTTTTAATGATTTGGTTATTTATTCTAAAACCACTTTTGAAAACAAATATTAACCACAAAAACACTTTTAATCCCATTAGTGAATGACTTCGTAGATTGATGCTTACCATGCAATTTTTTTTAATTTAATCATATATTTTTTTTGTGAATAATAATATAATTTAATATTTTTGTCATCACAATAATCCAACTTTCTAGGCCCACGACAAAGATAACAATCTTCTTCATAACACCCATATTGCCCCTTGCTTTTATATTTTAAAAAAAGAGTTTAAAAAGGTTGAGTATGAAAATATACACCTAAAGCAGCTCTTCGAGTTGCTTTATGCATATATTAGCCTACATCATAATTTAGTCACCTTCCCAAATAATCTACCTTTATGTGTGATAAACACGAGTGTTCTTGAGTGTAAAATCATTGAGTGTATAAGGTCCTAAGCATATACAACTACTGTTCGTACAATCATGAACCAAGACGAAGGAAATGGAGGGGAGATCAATTAGTTAGTTGAAGAAACTAGAAGAATGAGGAGGAATGGGAAGATGGGAGTCATTTGACACTTATTACAAGAAAACTTCTTGAAACTCAAGTTACAAATAATGATGTTGATAATCAAATAGACAACCTGTTTCACACGCGGTGTTTAGTCAAGGGGACTTCTTGTAGTCTTGTCATTGATAGTGGAAATTGCACCAATGTAGTAAGTATTATGTTGATTAAAAGGTTGCAAATTCCAACACAACACCATCCTCTAGCTCAATGATACTGGAACAATGAAGGTAGTTTCCCAAACTTTAATATCTTTTACTCTGAAAAAATGTAAATATTAAGTTCTTTTTGATGTGTTATCAATACTTGCTGGAGACATATTGCTTGGCCGACCTTGGCAACTTGATAGGAGAGTCATGTATGATGGTTATTCGAATAGGTATTCTTTTGTAAAAGATGGTAGATTAAAGTTGAAGGAAAAAAAAAGAGTTTGAGGAAAAAGAGTCGAAAGAAAAACAAGAAATGAGTAAAAAAATAGAGAAAAACCAAAGAGAAAAAAAAAAAAGTGAAAAGAAGAATGAAAAAAGAGATGAAATTGAAAAGCAAAAAAAAAAAAAACAAAGTTGTTTGGCTAGACTTGGAGAGGTGAGAAGGGCAATGTTTTTACTAAATATCATCTTTGTACTTATGTGCAAGGAAAGATTTTTGGTTTCTAATTATAACAACTTGGCTTTATCTAGTGTTTTTCAATCTTTTTTACAGGAATTTGATGGCGTGTTTCTTGATGAAGTACCTAAAGAACTACCTCCCATTAGAGATGAACATCAAATAGACTTCATTTCAGGTGCTGTCATTCCTAATAAGCCAACTTATAGAGTCAATCCAACTAAGACTAAAAAAATTCAAAGGCAAGTGGAGTCATGGAGAAGGGCTATACACAAGAAAGTTTGAGTCCATGTTCTATACGAGACTTATTGGTGCCAAAAAAAAGCTAAAACTTGGTGCATGTGCGTGAATTGTTGAGTCATCAACAAAATCACTGTAAAATATTGACCTCCTATTCCTAGAGGATATGCTTGATGAATTGCATGGTTCATGTCTATTTATAAAGATTTTTTTGAAATCTGGATATCATCAAATTAGAAGGCAGGTAGAAGATGAATGAAAAACAACTCTCAAAACTAAGTTTGAATTATATTCGATTTATTATACCTTTTGGGTTAACTAAGGCTCCTAGTACATTTATGTGCTTAATATATAATGTTTTCATAAAATATATGGGAAAACATGTTGTCGTATATATTAATGATATTTAATTTATTTGAAGATTTTGCTTGAGCACGTGGAACATATTAAGTCAGTTTTGATTACAGAAAAGAGAAATTTCATTCTAAGTGTAGTTTTTGCATGGAAAAAGTTCACTTACTTGGCTTGATAGTTAGTAAAAATGGAATAGAGGTAGATAAAGAGAAAGTTAAAGTCATTAGGGATTTGACAACACCAAAAAGTGAAGTTTCGAGTTTTCAAGGGTTAGCTAAATTCTATAAGATATTTATAAAATATTTTAGAACCATAGCTGCACCATTATTTAGTGAAAATGAATGTCGTTTTAAATGTTAGAAAATGCAAGAGAATGCATTCAATTTGGTTAGTAAGAAATTAAGTAAGACACCATTACTTATTTTGCCTAACTTTGATAAAACTTTTGAAATTGGATGTGATGCAAGTGGTTTGGACATAGATGTTGTTTTAATTCAAGATGGAAAACCTGTATTTTAGTGAAAAACTAAATGGGGCAGCATTGAACTATCCTACGTATATAAAGAATTGTTTGCTTTAGTTCATTTATTGTAGGTGTAGTATTATCGCCTAGAGAATTTGTGATCCATTTTGATCATGAAAGCTTGAAGTACCTTATGGGTCAAAGAAAACAGAATTATAGGCATGCAAAGTGGGTGAAGTTTATTGAAAGATTTTTGTATGATATCAAATATGAGCAAGGCAAGGATAATGTGGTAGTTGATGTGTTATCTATAAGGTATAATCTTTTTATTCTCTTATTGCAAAAAATTCTTGGATTTGAGCATATTAAAGTATTATATAGAGATGATCAGGACTTTAGAACTATTTGTACATCTTGTCTTGCGAAAAAAAACTATTATTATGTGTTTCGTGAATTCTTATTTAAGATAAGTAGGTTTTCTATTCCTAAATGCTCTCTAAGAGATTTGCTTTTGAGAGAAGCATATGGTAGTGCGGGACATTTTAAGATTAATAAAACTTATAATAGGTTGCATAAACACTTCTTTTGGCCGAAGATGTAGCACGATGTTCATAAGTTTTGTAGCCAATGTTTTAAATGCAAAGAAGCTAAATCTATATCACATGAATGTACCTAACAAACCTTGGACTAATATATCTATGGATTTTGTTGTTCTTGGTTTGCCGCACACAAAAAAAGGTAAAGATAGTATTTTTGTCGTTCGTGGTAGATTGATTTAGAAAAATGGCTCATTTTATTGCAGGCAACAAGATGGATGATGCAAAGCATGTTGCTAACTTATTCTTTAGGGAAGTAACTCATTGTTTAGGGAAGTAGTGAGATTACATGGAAGCCCTAGAATAATTGTTAGTGACTGGGTACCAAATTGTTGTTTTCAACTGCATGTCATCCTCAGATAGACAAACTTGAGGTGGTTAATAGAATATTAGGAACACTATTTAGGGCTATTATTTTTAAGAATATTGGGATGAATGTTTGTCATTTGTAGAGTTCGCCTATAATAGAGTAATTCATAGTACCATTCTTTGTTCTCCTTCTGAAGTTATTTATGGATTTAGTTCGCTTACGCTGGTTGATTTACTTTCTATTCCTTCTAATATTTTTGTGAGTGAAGCAGCCACAAGTAAGACAGATTTGATCAAAACATTGTACAAAGAGGTAAAGGAGAGAATTGAGAAACAAAATTTCAAAGTTGCTTCATAAATTAACAAAAGACAGAAAGAAATAATTTTTAACCCAGTAACTGGATTTAGATACATTTTCGTAAAGAGCAATTCTCATCTCAAAGGAAGACAAAGTTACATCTAGGAGGGGATGACCCTAATCAAGTCCTCGAGAGAATTAATAACAATGCATAAAATTTGATCTTTCTAGAGAATTTCCAGTGCATTCTATTTTTAATGTTGCTGACTTGATTCCTTTTGATGTAGATGATAATTTTTCTGATTCAAGAACGAATCCTTTTGAAGAGGGAGAAGATGATAAGGATCACGATGTTCTAAATGTTATAACTGAACCTATTACACAATTCAAGACCAAGAAGATTCAACAAGTATTCATTATTCATCTACAAAATTGGATAGTCTCAGTTCAACCATCATTTCATGTGTTACAAGCGGATTCCATTGAGGAAGGATCATTTGGAACTTCAGAAGTGAATATTTGCACGGTTGAAGTAACGGATGAAGTTGCAAACATCATTTCATGAGTGGTTAGAAAACTTTATTTATTGTTTTTAATTTCGTAATTTTTGTAATGGGTAAAAGGGTGGAAGTTATTAGTCAAATTGACTTGTCTTTTGTGGAGATTTAAAAGGATTGAGATTAAATGATCGCCACTAACTTCTTTAGTGGGGAGACTATAAGTACCCCAAATTATTATGTAAAAATCAAATTCGTAGATGAATGAAATGGAGATCTCAAATGAGACTTTCACCCTTAGAAATCCGAGCATCATGTTTGCTATTTCTATGTTTTATGCAATTCTTGTGGTAGATTGCATATAAGTCATTCAGTCAAGCCTTCATCAATCACGGTTGTAAATTGTTATAATTTTTTATTTAACTTGAGTATTAACTCCCTTTCAATACATAACCATTTTGATTAAATACAAATATTAATTTGGTTATTAATTTTGTAACAATTTTAATTAATATTCTTATTTATTTTGGTTATTAATTCTCATTTAGTATATAAATGTTTTTTTTAATTAATATTCTACATGAATTATTCATGTATAAAGGGTTTGTACAGGAGGTTGAGGATATTGGAATTTGATTGAGTTTGTGTGTCATTGTATTTCTTGAGTGACATTTTGGTGAGAGACTTTGTAGTGTGAGAGTGACGTATTCACTTGTAAACACTTTGATTATTAGAGATTGGTTGCTACCGGTAGACGTACGAGAATTTTTTCTCTCCGAACCACATAAATCTCTTTGTCTCTTTGTTTAAATTATGTTCGTTGGTGTTGTGCGTGCATTCGATCTTGCTTCCTATTAAGGATAGTTGACCGTTCATTATAAGGCAAATATCTAGATATTTACCTTACATTACGGCTTACCATATTTGCCCTTTTATTAAAGACAAATATATTATATTCATTTAGTATTCTTTCCTTTTATTGTTATTTCCATATTATTTGTAATTTACCATATTTCTGTATTCTGTAAATAATTATAAATAAGAGAACTCTCACCACCATTTAAGTGTGGTGGATTTAGCAAACATTCACATAGTATCAGAGCTCTCATCCTTTCTTCTCTATGGCTTCCAAATCCTCTTATCATCTTCTTCTTTTCAACACTCTAATCCATATGATCACCATCATACTTTCTTTCTCCAATTATCTTCTTTGGAAAAGCCAACTTCTCCCTCTCCTTGAGAGAGACATGCTGGGCCATGTTGATGGAACTATGGTTCCACCACCTCGATTTGAACCAGAAACCTCCTCAACACTCAACCCCAAATATTTGGCGTGGAGAGCAGCTGATCAATGACTTCTTTGTCTCCTGCTCTCCTCTCTCACCGAGGAAGCCATGACTGTTGTCGTTGGTCTCTCTACTGCACGTGATGTTTGGCTTGCGTTGGAAACTACGTTCAGCCATCATTCAAAAGCTCGTGAACTGAGACTCAAGGATGACTTGCAGTTGATGAAACGTGGCACCAAACCTGTTGCTGAGTATGCCTATGCCTTCAAAACAATTTGTGACCAACTTCATGCCATTGGCAGACCCGTTGAGGACATTTATAAAGTGCACTGGTTCATTCGTGGACTCAACACCGAATTTTTAACTTTTTCTACTGCTCAGATGGCTCTCACCCCTATCCCTTGTTTTGCAGATCTAGTCTCTAAAACTGAAAGTTCTGAGTTGTTCCAATGCTCCCTTGAGTCCTCTGACTTCACTCCTACAACATTCACAACCACTAATCGTGGTCGCACCCATGGAAGCCACCCTGCTTTCTTTAGTAACCAGCGAGGTCGTTCTTATTCCCACAAAAACAACTCTTCCAATCAAGGACGAACCCACTCAGGTCAGGGTTGTCGACCACCTCACTGCCAAATATGCCGCAAAGAGGGCCATTATGCTGACTGCTGCAACCAACGATATGTTTGATTTGATTCTTCTCATGCTCACCTTGCTGAAGCCTTTAATACATCATGTTCGATTGCTAAACCCGATACTGCTGATTGGTTTCTCGACACTGGGGCTTGGGCCCATATGACTGCCGACCCATCTATTTTGGATCGTAGAAAACGGTGCATCCCTACCCATTACCCACACCAGTACTCTTTCTCCTATTCCAAATATTCACTTATGAGATGTTTTGGTTGTCCCTCATCTCACTAAAAATCTTCTTTCCATAAGTAAATTAATGTCTGATTTTCCTCTCTCTGTTACATTTACTAATAATCTTATTACCATCCAGAATCGTCAAATAGGAAGGGTGGTGGCAACTGGTAAAAGATATGGAGAACTATATGTGCTGGAGTGCAGCAACTTTACTTTTATTTCAGTTCTTAGAAACAAATCTTTACGTGCTTCATATGATTTATGGTATGCTCGTCTGGGTCATGTGAATCATTCTGTTATTTCTTTTTTAAATAAAAAAGGTCATCTTTCTCTTACGTCTTTATTGCCTTTTCCATCGTTATGTAGTACTTGTCAGCTTGCGAAAAGTCATCGATTGTCTTATTCCCGCAATGAAGGTAGGTCGTCTCATGTGTTAGATCTTATTTATTGTGATCTTTGGGGTCCTTCTTCCGTCAAATCAAATTCGAGTTTTCTTTATTATGTTATTTTTATATTGATGATTATTCTCGATTCACTTGGCTTTACCTTTTAAAATTTAAATCTGATTTCTTTGATATTTTTCTTCAATTTCAAAAATTTGTGGAAAATCAATATTCTTCTCGTATCAAGGTATTTCAAAGCGATGGAGGTACCGAATTTACTAGCACTTGTTTCAAAACTCATTTACGTAATTCTGGCATCCACCATCAACTCTCTTGTCCATATACACCTGCTCAAAATGGTCGTGTTGAGAGAAAACATCGTCATGTGACTGAGACTAGCATGACCCTTCTCTTTCACTCTCATCTTTCTCCTCGTTTTTGAGTTGACGCCTTCAGTACTGCAGCTTATATTATCAACCGGTTGCCTACTCCACTTCTTAGAGGTAAGTCACCCTTTGAACTCCTTTATGGCTACACTCACATTATGACAATTTTCATCCATTTGGTTGTCGTGTTTATTCTTATTTGCGTGATTATATATGCCTAACAAGCTTTCTCCCCACAGCATTCCTTGTATTTTTTTGGGTTATAGTTCTGCTCATAAAGGGTTCCGGTGTCTTGATCCCGCCACCACTAAGCTATATATCACCCACCATGCTCAATTTGATGAAACTCGCTTTCCTGCTATCCCTAGCTCTCAGGCTCAACCACTTTTCTCTCTTCCTATTTCAAATTTCTTGGAACCACATCTTTATCATATTGATTCATCCCCCCCTACCACTTCATCATCGCACATTCCTTGATCCAGTTCATCCCCGTGTGATATTTGTTCTGACCTTGTGAATGAGTCTGTGTAGGTTGATACTTCTCTTGCAGGTTCCACTTTGCCACCCTCGACTTCTAATTCGACCTCTATTGAACCTACTATTGATTCCTCTTCTTTGGGCACTCATCCTATGATCACACGAGCCAAAGCTGGTATATTCAAGACTCGTCATCTAGCAAATCTTGGTATTTTGGGCTCATTTAGACTTCTTTCTGTCTTCTTGCATCTGCTGAGCCAAAAGGATTTAAATCTGCGGCTAAGAATCCTACTTGGGTTGCTACCATGGATGAAGAAATTTGAGCGTTACAACAAAATTATACTTGGACTTTGGGTTCTCTCGGTTACTTTCTTGGTCTTGAAGCTTCACCCACTCCTGATGGTCTCTTTATTAGTGAGTTAAAATATACTTGAGATATTCTTACTTGTGCTTAGTTGCTCGATAGCAAACGAGTCCACACTCCCATGACTGCTGATGGTTCTCCTTTCTCTGATCATACTCTCTATGGATCTCTTGTTGGCGCCCTTCAGTACTTGACTATTACGCGTCCAGATATTGCCTATGCTGTCAATTCTGTCAGTCAATTCTTGCATGCCCCTACTGCAAATCACTTTCTTGCTGTCAAACGTATTCTTCGCTATGTCAAAGGAACACTCCACTTTGGTCTTACCTTTCGTCCATTCACTGTTCCTAGTACGCTAGTCGCTTATTCAGATGCTGACTGGGCTGGTTGTCCCGATACTCATCGTTCTACATCTGACTATTCTATTTATCTTGGTAACAATCTCGTTTCTTGGAGTGCCAAAAAGCAACCTACTGTCTCACACTCCCGCTATGAATCTGAGTCTCGTACTCTTGCCACAACTGCTGCTGAACTTCTTTGGGTTACGCATCTTTTGCATGACCTCAAGGTCCCTATTTCACAGCAGCCCTTACTCTTATGTGACAACAAAAGTGTTATTTTTTTTTAGCTCTAATCCCGTTTCTCACGAGCGGGCCAAACATGTTGAACTAGATTATCATTTCCTTCGAGAACTTGTTATCGCTGGCAAACTTCGCACACAATATGTACCTTCTCATCTCCAAGTTGTTGACATCTTCACAAGAAGTATTTCTCGACCTCTCTTTGAATTTTTCCAATCCAAGCTTCACGTTCGTTCAAATCCGATGCTCAGCTTGCGGGGGTGTTAAGGATAGTTGACCGTTCATTATATGCCTTACATTACGGCTTACCATATTTGCTCTTTCATTAAAGGCAAATATATTGTATTTATTTATTATTCTTTCTTTTTATTGTTATTTCCATACTATTTGTAATTTACCATATTTCTGTTAACGACCCAAATATTTTACCTATTTAATCTAAGGTCATTACTACACCTTGAAATGCGGAATATACATTAAAAGAGCCCTATTATATGCGACTTACTCTCGCCTTTTATTACCTCGTGAAAGAAAGGAAAAAAAAAAGATTACAAGGAAAAAGAACGGAACATTATTGAAAATAAAGGAAAAACAAAAACCAAATGAATATTTTATTCTACCCTATGGCTTATTATGCAAATATATTTCAACCTATACTAACCTATGTTAATGATGCAAACCGAATTCAGCCTAGACTACGAAATGGAAAATAAAAAAACCAAACAACTATCCTATGCATGTGCCACGGTCTCGAGGTGTACGATGCCGCCACCGTTGTCACATGCACAACGTATCACATCAACTAAGCAGCATACAGAACATACATTCACGTTCACATGATTTCGTACTTATGCACATTAAACTAGCATACAATTTAATGACACGTGCATATCCACGGGCACGTGCCAACATACAACAAATAACGCGTAACCTACGACGGGTGAGCCACTTACCTAGTTAACTTAAGTCGTTGTCATGTATATATCCTTAATGAAAGATCGATTCCGTCCTTTGAAATCCAAGTCAACCTATTAGCCCATGACATCAGTTTCAAGTTTGAACTCTATACAATTGTTTCTCTAATTTACATGTTAGACAAAATTTAATGGAGTTTCATGCCTCTGGTATTTCCTGTTTCATTTTTAAATTATGTTCAACAAATCTTCCCTTCTCCCTCTTTGTAATTATTTTTTCGTTATCCCTCTTTGTAATTATTTTCATTCTGTAAATAGATTTTCAATTCTGTAAATAAGATATTCCTCTCTGTAATTATTTTCCTCCTCTAAATAGATTTTCAGTTTTGTAAATAAGATATTACTCTGATTCTATATTTATTTTCATTCTGTA